TCTCGTGCCTTAACTTTTTTTTCATCTGAACTAAAAACCTTAATTAATTGTAATGTATTAATTGGTCAAGCGGACCACGAAAATAGTGAATTTAATGAATTAAATGAAGTACACTTCACTAAAGCTCTCCGAGGCCATTTCATTTGTCGTCGAGAATCCAATCCGATTACACGACATTTGAAAAATGGCAAAAAGGAGGGAAAACTCATAAGGTGGGGTTGAGATGGGAAGTCAGTGTCCGAGTGGATCGAGGTCACGATAGCTCAAGTGGTAGAGCAGCGGCGTATCTAGCCGAAGGTCGTGGGTTCGCATCCCTCTCGTGCCATTAACTTTTTTTCATCTCAACTAAAAACCTTAATTAATTGTCTTTTATTTACTATTGTTCGGGTTTGAATAAGTTCATTCGTTTTATTACAATATTATTATTATTCTAGCAAGAAAAGCAACTATATTTGCTCTTCGAAAACGACACCTGTTTCCACAACCAATGGTTCGTGCTCATTGGAAACTAGGCTTGTTTACATTTATTGACTGTTTTCTTCTCCGGAAACGAGGCCTGTTTGCATTTATTAACTGTTCTTCCGCTTTGGAAACTACGTCTGCTTATATTTATTGTCTGTTGTTCCTCTTCTCAAACTATGCCTGTTTCATTTATTGTCTGTTTTTATTGTAAGGAAACCACGCCTGTTTGTATTTATTGACTATTCTTATTCCTCAGAAACTGTGTGTTCGCACTTATTGACATTTTCCACTTCGGAAAGACGCCTGTTACCATTTATTGACTATTTTCCTCTTCGAAAACGACGCCTATTTGCAAAATCGACTGTTTTTCCTAATTGGAAACTAGGTCTGCTTACATTTATTGTCTGTTCTTCCGTTTCGGAAACTACCTCTGCTTATATTTATTTTCTGTAGTTGCTCTTCTCAAACTATGCCTGTTTCATTTATTGACTGTTTTTGTTCTAAGGAAACCACGCCTGTTTGTATTTATTGACTATTCTTATTCCTCAGAAACGGCTTGTTTGCACCTATTGACATTTTCCACTTCGGAAACCATGCCTGTTTGCATTTATTGACTTTTCCTCTTCGAAAATGACACCTATTTGCATAATTGACTGTTTTTCCTCATTGGAAACTGCGTCTGTTTACATTTATTGTCTGTTCTGCCTCTTCAGAGACTAGGCCTGTTTACATTTATTATTAAATTCATCTTCCTCAGAAACGATGCTTGTTTGCTCTTATTGACTTTTCCTTTTCGGAAATGATGCCTGTTTGCATTTAATTACTTTCTTCTCTTCGGAAACGTCACTTATTTGCATTTGTCGACTGTCCTTTCTCTCCGTAAACGGCAACTGTAGTTGAACGTCTTGAAAAGAAGAACAGAATTATTCGATTGGAAGTCACAAGTAATGCTTTTAAAGTAGGTCCTTATTACCGCTAAATTCACCAATGATAATGTTTCAAAACTCATTTAAAAGACCAGTATTTTTTCTGGAATGAATCGTGCGAATATGTTACGTAAATCGTCGGCTCTAGTTGGTAGAACAGCTTTCCGTTTTGCTTTCCCAATCATGAGACGGATTTAATCAATAAACTTTCATTAAAAGTTTTACTCGGCCGATAGACAGGCCACGAAAGTCCTTTTTCCCCAAACCTACCGTTTGTACGTCAAATTAGAACGACTTAACTAACATCAATAACAATCGATTGTAGCCAGATTTCCTCTGACCTTATCACACTTGGAAAACAACACGGATACGATTAATCATCCGTTACTTGTGATGTTTTTAATTATTTCCCCACGTCATCTGCACAAACACCTTCTTTACAAGCGTATTGATAAGATGTAAAGATTTTTATCGATTATCATGTTATCCTACTGTAATTTGCAGCAAAAGACAACTTTTATGCAACCATTCGCTTTTTCAAACGTGCCGTGCTCATTTTATGCAAGGTATATTAATGAAAATTATTTACCTTTACGATAAAAACCACAATCCACCTGTATCAGCCGACAAAATTGTCTCTGTTAATTAACCTTTAAATTACAAAAATATAATATTTACGTACAAAATACCGTCTAATAACCCTACGTTCAATTATACATATTAAGTAATTGCGATTTTATTTTCCTAAAAAAAATCCCAGTCACGAAGCGAAAATCCTATGTACAAAATGAATTTAACCCGATGAAGTATTTACTACATAAATATTTCAGTCTTTTTGGTACGAGATTTAGTTGCGGGAACAGGTTATTTATGGTTACTTGTTGGAACATTTTTTTTCAGTTAAATCTGTTAAAAACCTTTTCCACTCTAATGAGATTTTTAAAAATAAACAATATGTATACATTGAGTTTTCCGAAAAATAATGCTGGTTTATGGTTACAACATAAAAACAATTAAATAAATGATTTTACACATTTTTTATTAATAAAAATGCCCCTCCATCACTCTCAATCCACTTCCCCCGATGCTGTATAGATAGACTTTGAAGTTTTATTATTAACAAATTCTGTAAAGGCATATTTTAACGACTTTTGGCCAATAAATTTTTTATTTTGTAAAACGTTGACCACGTGTCTGAAAAAATGGTAGTTGGCAGGCTCGAGGTCTGGAGAATAGGAAGGGTGAGGCAAAACCTTATAACTAAGATTTAACACTTTTCGTATTGTCATATATGAGAGGCATGGGGCCGAGTAACAGAATCGATCTTTTCCGATTGACCAAAGATGGCTTCAGTAATACCAGTTTGTAGTGCATTGCTCCAATTTGAGAGCAATACATTTCGACATTGATTGTTTCATCAGGATTCAACAAGCTGTAGTAAATCACCCCAAATGAAGCTCACCAAAGAGTAACCATCACCTTTTTTTGATGATTTGGGGGCATTGGGAATTGTGGTGGTGCTTCTCCTTTGTCGAGCCACCGTCCAGAACGTCTGCTGTTATAGTAAGAAATCCGCATTTCACCACGTGACAATTCTATCCAGAAAAGGTTCGTTTTTTTCGGCAAAGAAGTGTTTCACAAACTTTCATAACGATGATTTTTTAGTGGTCGTTTAATGCAGGAGAAACTCAACTTTCGAGCTTTTTCACCTTTTCAATTCCCTTAAGTTGGTCACCAAAGGTCGATTTACTAACTGAAAGATTCTCTGCAAGTTCTCAAACAGTTGTTATGGGATTTTCTTTGAACAAAGTTTGCAGAACATCATCATCCGGGGAAGAAAACCTTCCACGACCTTTTTGGTCTTCAAAGTTAAAGCCTCCCTCTCGATTTTTTTACACTATCTCTGAAGGGTACTCTCACTCACACTTCCATAGCTTCAGACTTCGTTAATGTTTCTGTTCGTATGGACACCGTTCTGGCATAATTTAAACTCATAAAACGAAATTTTGTGGAAATCAGGCGATGACATCTCACTAAAGACTGAATTATTCGCAAGTGATGAAATGCTACTGAGGTAAAGAAACATTTTCGTTTGGAAGAGTTTTAAAAAGTATTGCCATTTGAACAAAAGAATAATTCATGAAACGTAAAAATTTTATTTTTTTAATTTTTTTATATAGAGGGGTAACTGAAAGAAAACTTGAATACCTGCATTATTTATCCGATAACCCAATAATATGCAGCGTGTACAAATCAAAATTGTTATCACAAATATGTGAGTGTTTGGTTTTTTCCTCGGTTACTTCACTGACACTATGGCCAGCCCTGCACCTGGAGGAGGCAGGTTGAAAGAAATCCGCAAACGTTAAAGACGAAATGGTGTGTTCTCAGGATGGAAAGTAGAAAATGCGCTAGGGCAGTATGGTAAAGATCGATTGAAAGTTTGGTGTGAACTTGTGGAAACGGGAACAGAGCAGGTCGTTGATAAAAGTTATGTTGAGATGGTTGTGAACAGTAAATTTAATGGACTACTAAGGGGCCTGGACAGTATGTTTAAGGACTGTAGATTTGATGCCCTAGATATTGGAAATTTGGATGAACCAAAGTTCCCCTTCGTATATTCAGATAAGTCGGAGATCTTTTGTTAAGGTAAAGTCGTGGTGGACAGCGAAATTTCCTTTCTTTACCTTCCGGCCAACTTTCAAAGCTATGATCTAAAGACCCAACGTCAGTAGTTTGGGTGTTGGGAGAGGTAGGCAGGATAGGACCTAGGATGCTTCTCTATTGGCTCAGCTGTAGCTACTAGGAGAGAATTGACAATCATTTGAATAGGAACACATGATGTATTATGGAACAAAAGGAATAATGTCCATGTCGTTGTTGTGGATGTGTGTTTAGGACGAAATACAGAGCTCTGACAATTATCAGGACTTTTTATCGGAAGAATTGAATGCACTTGATGAACCCACGGTTCCACTCCGTATGTACAAAGTGGTCCCAATAATGTATTGAAGTTATTTTGACGGAGTTGCTCCTAAAGTCTTAGTAGATGTGGAACTTTTCCTAAGTTTTCATCTCGTGTGGGGATAAATCAGCCTGTTGTGTAGTGTCGTTTTTTAGCTTGGAGATTGACTGTATTTATTAGCTTGAATGGGTAGTATGAGAGAGCTGACGTTGGAAAATAGAGCACCCTATTGACCTCTCATATATAGCATGTCGTAAAGATGATTAATATCTAGTAGTCCACCACCCTTTATGGTAGGTGTAAGTAGTTCTACATAATTTGGGAGGAAGATAGGAACGAATTTATTTAATAATTAAAATTATAAAAAACAGCGTGGAACCAGGAGAAAAAAAGCAAAAATAGATAGCCCCCTGAGCAGGGATATTTCCAAAACCCGATGCAGGTGATTCATAAGCTCAATTTTGCAATTTTGCACGTATATATATGATGTACATAGATGTCCGGAGTTGAGGTTTTATGAATCAATCAATATCCATAAACACATATTAAGGAAAATATAATATCAAGTAGTATCAAATAATATAGTAATATTAAGCAATGTATAAAAGAGTATACAAAATTAATTTTTTAAATTAAATAATTCTACATGAAAGTTTCTAGAAGTTGGAAATATTTCTTACAATTTAAATTAACTTTTACATTTTGAAAAAAAAAAAGTGTCAGGATATAAAATTAATTTTTAGCACACGTTTGTTTTAACTTATTAGACCAATATCAAATCATTGGATGTAAATATGTTTATTCAAGGAGCCCCGAAACCTTGCATCTGCTGAGAAGGATCCGGTGGGAAGTTCGGGACGTGCTGAGCGGGATAGAAAGGAGGCAACCCTCCCAAAGGAGGCGGTGCTAACTGCGGAGGAAAGATGCCCGGCGGCCCCGGTGGAGCTACGGAGAAATTGAACATGTGCGGAGGGGCGAAAGGCGGAGGTGGTACCAACTGGGGCGGTGCGGACTGCCAGTAACCCGGAGGAGGCGGAGGATAATCCATTTGGGTTTGATATCCGCTTGCGACCGGCCCCTGTCTTATGGTGAGTATGGGCCGTGAATTCGGACCTTGGACCACAGAACCACCGCGTTGCGGGTTGAGGACTCTCGCCGTTTCCTGCCTCGGCTGCCGCTGATTTTCCTCTTCGTCTTGAGTCAAGTCCACGAAAACAGTCTGGTATAGATGGTTTTGGTCGGTAGCCCTGTGTAGATGCTGTTTGAAAGACTGGGCGAGCGCTGCTGCTCCGGTCCGGGCTTTATTGTTATCGACGTTATCTACAGGGGCGTTGTAGCTGGTCGACGGTGCTACATTCACAATGTTGGCCTTTTCGTCTAGAGTTTGCGTTCTGTCGACTTCGACTGGATTATTGCCCGAATTGACGTTCGGCCGAGGAAAGTGCACATTGTTTGATTCTGGCCCGGCTTTCGGACGGACCCTTGTCGCTGATTCCATGATGTATTCGTCCGTACCGTCTTCGGATTTTATTACATTCCAACTGTAGGAGAGGATGTTCATTTTTCCAGTGATCGGCGATAGTATGTTTCTTGTCCACGATTCTCCTTCGATATCGCTGTCGACCTTCGGGTCGTAGATCAAACCGTTTTCGAACTTGCTGGTTTTGACGTGAGAATAGGGCACTTGTTGGTTTGGATTTATTCGCTGTCCTCTTCCCGTAGGAGTCTGAGAAGCCGATGCGTGACCGCTCGGATCTTCGCTCTCATCGGCGAGCAGTTCCGCCAGGAGGGCAGATTTCTGCCGACGAGTGTGTTGCACGCGGTGTCGGCGCAGATAAGAGTTGATCGTGTCTAGACTCATGGTGTTCAGCTTTTCTTGGACGAATCTGTGTATGGCCGCGTGTTGCACGTGGCCGGCTTGGCTCAACATCCCGCGGTTCGGCGTCTGCCCGGGTCTGCTTCCAGCGTCCGAGTTCATCGTCGCATCCGCACCCGAATGGTCTGCTTTTTGCACGTACTTCACGTGTTTCAAATGGTCCGAAACGTGACAATCAGTGTCGGGGCATATTCTTTTATCCGCTCTCAAATTGATCGGCTGATTGTTGGAGCCGATGTTTTGAGGGGAGTGGACGGACGTGCCGTGGGCTAAGGTCAAAAGCTGAGCGCCGTTCTTTGTCTTCCCGTCGCCCGAGGTCGTCCCCAATTGAACGTGCTTCCACATTTGTCTGACCGGCTCCGATCCGAGGATCCCCTGAGATTTACCGGCAGAACCTGATTCCGACGGCCCTTGCTCCTCCTGTAGGTGTCCTTGATCATTCCGCATCGTCAGATCTTTAAAAAAATAATAGCAAATTAATATCTAATATAAATTTAAAATACGCTTAATTTGTACAAATCGTGTTAAAAACTATTCGTGCGAAAAGGCAAAAATTCTGCGTCGCTACGAAGAAAAAATATATCTGTAAAGATAGTTGATTATTGAAAACCGGCCTGAAACCAATGGCATAGACACATTTATATATGAAATCATAGACACATTGCAAATATGTGATAAAACATAAATTTGTATTTGTCTAAAGGTCAACCATATGTCAAAAATTTAATATCTGGAATGTAGAGCTTGAATATGTGAAATATGGGGTTATGGGAATGATTACAACTCGACTAGTTCAATTAAACTTTTGATTGCAGTGCCTCATACCATGCCACCATCATTTTCGTTCCCATCGCACTACCTGCAGAGCTAGCGCAGCGGTTGTATCGTCCGGCAAGTTTGTCATCAAATACCCCAACTCGATCATCCAAAAAAATCATCGATGGCCAAAAAATTTACGTAGACTCTTCAAGGGCAGTTTAAATTGGGTCTGCTTGAAATTTTTTATTCTTAGTATTTATTGTGTCGATCAATCTTTATTGCTCTTGTTACTTGTTATTTATTTATTGCTTTATGAATTTCTAGTCATGCAAAAAATGGAATTTGATACTTCATAGGTCCGTACTCTTGCTGAATGTTCCAAAACAAAGCCAAAAAAAATAATCTTTTTATTTAAGGTTTTGGTTGAAATGAAAAAGTTAGAGTCACAAGCAGGATCCGAACCCACGACCTTCGGCTAAATACGCCGCTGTTCTAACCACTTGAGCTATCGTGACTTCGATCCACCCGGACCCCAACCCCCCATCTAAACCTACATCCTTTTGAAAACCTTACATAAAAAGATGAAGTATTGAAAGAAGTAAGTTGGTTAATGGACCACTAAATATAATGGATTTAATAAGAAAAAACCAACTGTCCCAAGGGTCTTCCATCGCTACAAAGATACTGGAGGTTACTCAACAAGGCATGGATCAGGTCGCCATCGTGTCACATCTCAGAGAGATGATCGTTTTATTGTATCGAATGTACTCCGTAATGAACAATGTAGCGTTGGTGAGATCAATCAACTATTTGAACAAATTAAAAATTTTAACGTCAGTTTACCCACTGTAAGGCGAAGACTTTCAGAAGATGGATTACGTCCGAGAAGGCCTGCCAATGGTCCAGAACTTCTGACAAGGCACAGACCAGCTCAATTAAGTTCCGCGAGAAATTACATCAATTGGTTGGAATAAAATCTTATTATTTGATGAGTAATGGTTTTGATTGCTGAGAGAGGGCGGTGTCATGGTTTAGGCAGGCATTTCTATTGAAGGTCGCACAAACTTGATCTACATCGAGGGTTCTTTAACAACTGCACGAAACGTTGAATATATGTTATCGGAAGAAGTTGTTGTTTATAAGCTACTAATTGGCGACGGTTTACAATGCAAGGTCCGGCACAGCTAGGATCGTCGGTGACTACTTGGAACGGGCCTCAATTCAATGTTTAAAGTGTCCAACATGTTGTCCCGACTTAAACCCTATCGCACACCTTTGGGACGAGTTGTAAAAGAGGGTAAAATATCACTCAGTGATCCCAGAGATTTTGTAGGAATTAAGATTGGCGTTGTTAGAAGTATACCAAAATATCCCACAACACTACATTCAAAACTTCACAAAAACAGTAAACAACGAAAAATACAAATTATAAAGATTGCAAATATTACTACCCAGCAGATGGGTAGCAAAAGAATGTCTAATCACATGTGGAGAGATTTTATTTTCATCAATATTACATTTTCTTGCTAATTCCTTAATTAATTGACCGATTCTCTGCCTAGCAATCGGCTTATTAGGTTTACTTTTTAGCAACAACTTTTTTTGCCTCTTAATGTACTTCCGCTAAAGTACAAATATGATAGATGGAATGACTTTTTAGTTTTACGCTCGGCAACCTTCGGGCATCACCAGTCCTGTCTATCTTTGATTTTCTTTTCCTGTCTTTCTCGCATGTTAATCGTCTTAATTACTTTTCCCTTTCTCCAGCCATGTTATGATCAGACAAATTAGGACGGTAACCAACTCTCTGCTTCCTTTATCCTGCGGCTAGCCTCACTGTACCTCCAGGCCATAATTTTGAATAAAATAACTCAAATACACATAAAACACAAAAAAAAATGAGAGTAAGATTAGCATTCTTCCCGGCTTGATATCCCTCTGGGTGACGCGGTAATTACGTGTGACGCGACGAAGTATCAAACCACTTTGCAAACTTTTCAGCATTAATTATACGGCAAATGTAAGTCAGCAGTTTTATTATAAATTATTTGGCCATTTTTCAATCTCACCTCCTCCAGTGTTATCTGACATCGTCGATGTTTTCAACTGCTAGATGAAATCTGAAACAATTAATGTTTACGGATATGATATTGTCATGACAATGCGGCAGATATTTATAAATTATTTAATACAGACCAACATTTAATCCGTTGTTTTACAAAGAAAAATAAGTCTTATAACTTAGTGAAATCACTAAGAAGAAATTAACAAAAAACATCATCGAAATTTATATCAAAACAAAACCTCAATACTTTTTCTCTCGAATAATTTGCAAATTCTAAACCATAACTTAATTCACTACTTTCGTGGTCCGCTTGACCAATTAATACATGACAATTAAATAAGGTTTTTAGTTGAGATGAAAAAAAGTTTAATGGCACGAGAGGGATTCGAACCCACGACCTTCGGCTAGATACGCCGCTGCTCTACCACCTGAGCTATCGTGAATGAAAAATGGCAAAAGGAGGGAAAACTCATAAGGTGGGGTTGAAATGGGGAGTTGATGTCCGAGTGGATCGAGGTCACGATAGCTCAGGTGGTAGAGCAGCGGCGTATCTAGCCGAAGGTCGTGGGTTCGAATCCCTCTCGTGCCATTAACTTTTTTCATCTCAACTAAAAACCTAAACCATAACGTTCAATCACATTTTTTTGTATTCGTTCAAAATCGAAAATTGAAAAACCTAGTCAAACTGGCCCCCGTCCTTTCAGGAATTGGTAAACTTTTCAACGCTTTTCCTCGAAAATGTAATAAACCGACAAAAGAAACGATGTCAATTAGCACTCAAAAAGCGTCAATGTATTACTGAATACTGATTATTGATTTATATAAGCTCTATTCTGTTCAAGCATGTACACGCGTACAAAGAGTTAAGACGATCACTTCTCGCACTCCACCGGCAATGCCAGCTTTTGCACCCACAAATCCAATCACTTTGACTGGTCTTTATCATCCGTTCTTATCTATGGGTGGTGTAGTGCTGGAGATCCCTCCATCACCTCAGAACCCATGGGAAAGCACACCAGTATCTTCCAAGCTGAAATTCATGCAATTGAAAGATGTATCCAATTCAATCTAAATAAAGGATACAAAAACAAGAATATAGCTATCATGTCAGATAGCCAAGCAGCCATCAAAGCACTAAGCTCAAATACCATTAGTTCAAGGATGGTGTTGAACTGCAAAACCAAACTAAACATATTAGGTTCGCAGAATAAAGTCAGCCTCTGCTGGGTCCCAGGACACATGGGAGTAGAAGGCAACGAGAAAGCGGACACCCTTGCAAGAAAAGGGGCTGCCACACCGCTAATAGGACCCGAACCCTTCTGTGGAATAGGAATACACACTATTAACGAATATCTCAGACAGAAGGACAAAAAGAAAATGAGCGAACTTTGGAATTCACTTATTGGACATAGACAATCCAAGAATCTTCTAACCAACTTTGGCAAGAAAGAAATCACAGAATGTGTCAAAGGAAGCAGGAATAGACTGCGAATCCTAACAGGATTCCTGACAGGACACTGTAGATTAAATGGACATCTAAAGAAAATTGGAATAATCCAAGATGGCACATGTAGATTCTGCAAAGAAGCAGAAGAGACACCAACACACTTACTAACAAACTGCGGAGCTACACTAGCCCGCAGGAGGAAGTGTTTTGGGATGTACAATGTGACCATAGAAGAGCTTCAACCACTGAAACCGGGCCTATTAATCAAGTTTCTTGATGAAATAGGACTCACCGATGTGCTTTAGGCAGAGCACAGGGGATACAATAGCTCTTAAAGGGCGCAGTATACCATACCCTGAAATATTACATCTACATTCTGTTCAAGCATGTACACGCGTATAAAGAGTTAAGACGATCACTTCTCGCATTCCACCGGCAATGCCAGCTTTTGCACCCACAAATCCAATCACATTCTCAATTACACTTTGGCTGATCTTTATCATCCGTTCTTACCTATGGGTGGTGTAGTGCTCGAGATCCCTCCATCACCTTTTATACCTATTATATGACAAGTCTAATTGAGGGTCGATTGGTAATTAACATTCCGCCATCAAACCTCTCACACTACACATTCACGCTGATAAATTCATTCGCTCCGAACAGATGCTAGGGACACAAATCTGTCAGTACTATAAACAATAAAATAATCCTATTTCTTCCAAAAATCGGAAAAGAGGATCCTCAATGCCGTGATCAAAAGATTCTCATATCGGGCGGCACTCCTACGCGCTCTCTGTACGGAGCCAAGGAATGGCACCATTCTATTACGTGGGACACATCGAACGACCTTTCTCTCCATGATCGACGCGTAAGTAAATGGCTTTGTCCGTCTTTTTATTTCTAATAACCCAAACATAAGAGGTTTTCTTTTTCATCAAAACAGCTTTGAACAATACTTATCATCCATAATTATTTTATCTATTTGTAAGTCTTTGGATTTTTGAAATATTATTTATATATATCATATTATAGATATTCATTTCATTATTTAACTTATTACTTAATTTATAAAGCAATCTACTAACCTAGCAGTAGGTGCATATATAATTCATGTGGTAATATACTACATATACAATTAATGGTATAGTAATCTCGATTGGTAGGTCGTTTAATAATTGAGAATATCATGTTGGCTATATATGTTTTGGCCAGACCAAAATAGAGGCCCTGCACCTTGACCCTTTGAGTCCTCTCCTAAACCTCTCCCTTCGTCCTTTTTCTAGCAGTTCTGATTTCTCAGTCTCCCAGTGCGAATCTATTGTGAATGAAAAACCGCTTCTCGGTTCACCTCTCTTCTTTTTATAAAACCTCAATCCGTGAGCACCTCTCATTTTGCTCTTAAATTTTCTTTTAATATTTCCCAAATTTCCCATCCAATCCTTCACTACCTGAACCGTAGGTCGTTTTGCAACGGGTCCCCAACCTCACTACAATCCTTCAGTGAGAGCGGAATAGCGAAAGTGGAATATGGACTTAGCACAAAAGCGCTCTCCACAATCTATAAACGTGTCTTCCTCCCAATAGCAAGTTATGGTGTAGCCGGATGGGCCAAACGACTACCGAGCAAAAGCAAAGCTATAATAGAGCAAAGCCAACGAATAGCTCTTATAAGAACCACAAAAGGGTACAGGACGATTCAATGCACGCCCTACAAGTAATAGCCAGCGCACTGCCAATAGACCTTGTCGTTAAAGAAAGGGTGGTCATCCACCAAAAAAAGAAAAATGAGGCAATAGATATAGGAGCAAGCCTAGGAGAAATAGACTGGTTCCGAAGAACAACTGGAAAGGAGGCAAAAGAGTACTTGGGAAAAATGACAAGGGCATCATGGCAAGAAAGATGGACAAACAGCAAAAAAGGTCGGCTGACATCCAAATTTTTCCCCAGCGTTGAAAGGAGACAAAAAACAAAATGGCTACACCCCGACTGCTGGACCACCCAAATGTTATCAGGACATGGAAACTTCACAAGCTATCTTCATAAATATAAGAAAAGAGAAAGCCCTTTATACTCCGTTTGCAGCACAGAAGAAGACGCCGAACATAAACTCTTCAGCTGTACCAAATTCAATGCAGATGCAATCACCTCAGCAGAATGGCCGCCTAATCTCCAAAAACTGGTCTGTGATATCAAATCATTTGCAGCACTAAAAGACTTTGCCTCAAATACGCTTAAATGAAAAAGTCCCTATTTATTCTAATTACTAAGTCCTAAATATTGTTGTTATTATTAGCGTTTTATTACCGTTATTTATTTATTGTATAATTAAACATAGGTTTAGGTTTAGGGTTCGAGGCTGTTTTCCTCTTCTTAGTAAGAAAATTTTAGATAATATAAATAGATANCACATAATTGTCTAGTGTCAATTCCGACATACAAATGAGAGGCTAGCAGTAGGATATTGACTTAGTTTTCATACAAAATTAGGAAGCCAGGAACAGATCGAAACTCTCAAATGGCTGCGGTTTAAAACAAAACATGCCTGAAAAATATATAATGAATATACTTCCCACATTTTATATATACATTTTTTTACTCGTATTTTCCTTGTTTGAAACAAAAAAATATTTATTTTAACTTCTTTTCGATCTATGTTTATACTGATTCAGCCTTTCTAATAATCGAACTGGTGATTTATCAAGTTAGGTTCTCAAACCGGCTTTATTTTTCAAAAAAATAAATTATTCATCTAGAGATATGAATGTTTATGACAGCTGTTATCTGATGCACATTTTTTCGTTTTTTTTGCAAAATAGTTTTCTTATCGTTAGTGGTTTCGAGGTTTATTTATGCCGATAATCCAAACAATAAGGCCGTTATATTAAGATGGAATGTAACATTTTACAAAAATTTGTCATGGTGAAATCATTTTGTTTGATTTTTCTTAGAAAAATGAAAACAAAAGGTAAGGTCAACTATATTGACTTCACAGACCCAGTTGGGATGAGGTTCTGTTTTTCTCACCGTATCTGCAGGTCCACTAGAAGACGGTTATTCCCTTAAGCAAAGTCGGCAAAGTAAAACGATAAAACATCTCCTAGAAAAATTACCCTGATTGTCAAAAACAACTAAAACACATTGAAACCAATAGAGATAGGTCACACGTTAAAATAGGCCGATTATATCTTGATCTTTAAAACAGCTGACAAGGAAATTCAAAAAGAGCTTAAGGACAGGTGGAGCATTCAAATGCCACCTTTACCCCTCTTAATTGTTTTGACGTGAAATGCGTGCTCTAAAATTGCATCGAAATATATTAGTACTAGTACAGAAAGTTGTACCGTAAGAAAATGGTCTCTACCTTCTTGCCTTAGTAAGTACTTAAACAACTGAACTAGTGACTAAAACTAAAGTTTTAGAGATGTTAGTACTGTGTCATTTTTTTGGCTCATAAGGTCAGCTCACTGATATGACTTTCCCTTTGAGTTGCGCGCTCGAGGGTTTAGGTTCATTGGCCAAAAACGGCCAACTCCGGCTCTTTTCCATTTCGTGTAACTCATGACTCCGACATGGTAGGGTGGTGATTCGTGTTTTTCAGTGTATAGTGT